TAAGTGACTAGTCGCCGTGCCCGTTCCAACCTTCAACTTGAAGGACCGAGAGACAGTTAGTCAATCTCCTACCCACTGACCAACTTGGTATGAGAGGCTCTGTGAGTGTCGCACATATATCCCCTCACTAAGGCTTAACGGGTTATGGAGGTGCAAAGCCAGCTACACCGTAGTAATTCCAGTCTCTTCGTAACATTTATTCTCCTGCTGAGCGAATAAGAGTATACTCGACCTGGTCACTTAACGTTAGACTGTTCTATGCTGGGATATATGAAGATCTCAAACACTCGTCAACTGTTCCTCGCATCCTACACTCGCAGTATTCTATGTCCTGGAGCTAAGGATAGGTTAGCAATGTTGTGTAATGTAGGTAGCTCGGGTGTTTGGTTGTGTTGTTGGTCTGTTCGCCGAGCTTGGCAGTTGGATTGCAAACGTTTCACCACCAATCGAGGCAACATCGTCAGTGCAGGGTTGCAATCCAACTGCCAAGCTCGGCGAACAGACCAACAACCTAAGGGTAGATTGCCATTTATTCCACCCCGATTCGCGGGTGTCCGGGCTGGTTAGTTGGCTTAATCGCGCCTAATATATGTGTTCCATGCTGTCACGCAAAATAACCCTATTTTGGTGATACAGTTTCTTTGTCTACTATTTCGTGAGTGACCTATTTTCAGGTTCCTGGGTTATGGAGGCAGGTGAGAGCTCATCAAAACACCACTACAGGCAAAGTTCAGCGGTAAGCTGTGCAAAGAATCCCCCGAACTGCGGTATTCAAGTGGAGTGACATCGAAACTCAGGTCAGACGCTTGGTCGGAAGGTGAGCGCATTTCGCGTATTTGTTGGTTGTTTTGATTTAGTATGCTCTCATCTGGCACAGTGCGTGCGGATGGCGAGAAAACGTACACTAACTTGTGTCGGAACTATCGGCTTAAGCATAAAATGTTTCGTACTGTCTCAGTACCCGGATTTCAGAAGTGCGATGCCTTCAATGGAGCGGTCTAGAAGGGCATGAATTCGTATGAAATCAATAATCTACAAGCGTATTCATACGCTGAGCAGCCCATGCACAATTTTCCCACGAGTAGTGAACATTCTTCCAGTTCTTTTATGCCGGACGCCTGTCGCATAACTCTCCTATTATCGTTCATGTAAACGTTCATCAATTTGTATTTTCTTTAGTCACATGAAAACTGCATTGAGTTCCATTATGGAGTTGCCGTTTTCATCATCTCTCTAGAAATCCACCAACTCAGATTCGCTTCACTCGCTCCCTTTGAGTTCTATTCAGTAAAGGTGGCCAGCCAAGAAAGAAATCAACTTGACAAATGTGCACTTTCTAATGAAATCCCAAATCTCCCGCTTAGAATCAATTTGCTGACTTAAAAATCCTCTTACCTTAAAGTTCTATTCAGTAAAGGTGGCCAGCCAAGAAAGAAATCAACTTGACAAATGTGCACTTTCTAATGAAATCCCAAATCTCCCGCTTAGAATCAATTTGCTGACTTCAAAATCCTCTTACCTTAAAGACAAACTAGCACACAAAAACGTTACCCTCGTACGAACATTGTTGTCCTTCTGTTGGTACCTGTCGCAGACCATCTGTACTTCCGTTCTGATAGTGGTGCAATTTTTTATCTTCACGTCAGGTTTCATTTTTCCGAGCAACATCTTTATTCGGAAATCTCATAGTTTGATGTCCCTGTGTGTCCTCGTCGGTCATGCCATCGTTCACTCGAATCCTGCTTGCTGCATAGTCCTGCCTTACTGCACCCTACATATTTCACCCTAAAGTGCATGGGTAGTTGAATAAGGGCCACTAGTTAGCGTATGACAATGGAGGCATAAATTGTTTTTGGACTTAGGCAAAACACTTGAAACACTGGGAGATGGCCAACATTGTGGATGTGAGGGGAAGTGGACTGGTACCAACGGAATCCGAATAGAAAGGATGATGTCACGAAGTTTCACGAGTATCCGCTTCATCAACTCCGTCGGTTTTCGATTCGCATCAGCTGCCTGTTCAATGGTGAAGAGAACAGAATACGTATAGCTAAATCAGCTGAAAAGTAGATCTTGTCCCAGTGTTTTCGGAAATACGATGACTTGTGTCAGGTGAACTGAACAGACTTAAACGAAGGACCACCGACCCATTAACACGCAGTGTAGTTCAGCAATCAGCTTGTACAAGATGTTCTGGGTGAGACCTAAGGTGTCCCGGTGACTGTTCAAGCGAGACATGCAAACGTCGTCACGACATGATTTCCGTGCAGCGTTCTTGGGATGGTTGGGACAGGACCACATGTAAACTTCAAACGAGATTTCGTCCCGTACTCGTGACCTAGCTAGCAGGCACTGTAGGCGATAATAAGTGAGTTGGCGTTGGGTCAGTCCAGTTGACTGAAGAGCCGAAAAGCCGGATAGCTACGCACTGAAGGTGAAAGCACTGATGCAGGGGCCCACTGATTATTGGGCCAGTCACTAAACATCAGTGATTTGAGACCTAGTATTGTAGTAAGTCAGAAAAACACGTCAGTGATGACACGGGTGCATTGTGTGCACGCAGCCAACTGGTACGCTTCCGTGGTGGGTAAGCCAACAGCTGAGTCACATACTCAGTCGACCCACAACGCTCCCGCGAGCAAATCAATCGGACACGCACCCAATCAGGTCACACGTCAGATCGACGGTGGAACGACGGACAGACACGCACACGCGCAAACCCTCTGACACACCGAAGCAGCTACAGGTTCCCCATCCAGAGGGGCGGCAAACAGATTTGTCTATCAGGTTGACTGGGCAGTCTGGGTTGATCCAACCAGTCTTGTGGCAGCACTTTACACTTTTCAGGCGTGAAGTGCGTATCGAAACACTCGGGAAAATTACCTAAACTATTTTAAATGGCTGGCATCTCTGAAGGATTTGAACCGGGGTGACCAACATCATTTGTGCACTCAATATCTGTAAGCGAACGCCCAGGTGGAACTTCGATTCTCGAAGGCAGGCAGTAGAGTTTCAAGCAGCACATCAATAACACATCTGAAGAGGGATGGTAAGAGAGGAAGGGATCTCTTACACCATTTGTAAAGGAGCTTGTCGTGTACCCATGCGCATCCACAGGATTTCCACAAATGCATCCTTGATCGGCAACACCGTCAAAGGTTTTGACAATCGACGGAGTCGAAATTACCCTCAAGGTCAAGAATGGCTGGCCCCTTTTCAGAACTGACTCAAGATTAAGACAAAGTACATGCATCCACGGCCATGGCGAAACCCGGCATGATTCTCGCGAATGTGTGGAAAATTATGCCACAGAACAACTTAGGTTCCAGGACGGTTTCTTTGCGACGATCTTGCGCTCTATTTAAAGATCGTATATCACTTCGACATGTGTGCGATGCACCATTCACTAAAACACACCCACAAACAAATGAGTTCGGCTCGAAATTTGGAATTTACAGTAGTTGATCACCCAGTTATTCGGGCTTAAATGCTTTCCGAGGTAGAATCTCACCGATACCGGCAGACGACGCGAAATTCTTTATCTGAGGAACGCGCGATACAGCAAAGTCTACCGAATCCGATCAGCACAGTCGATCGCACACCAACGCCACTTCATCGCACTTATAGTGATGAAAAATGTGAGGTTACCCAGTACCATCAGGGGCGATACAGGTCGAACTGACCAGCAAAAAATATTTACAGGTCAGTTGACAAGGCTAGTCACGAAGAAACCGTAACAGGAAACAGCACTCATGGGCAGAATAGTACTCACGGCTGCTATAAGGCCAACCCGAAAATTTGTCGGTTCGTCTGATATGAAATGCGGACTGAGGAAACTACTTATAAAATTGATGAAAACTCTTCAAAAGCCCACGACCGGTTTCGTCCTCCTTGGAGATGATCAAGCAGCAGCCCGAGTTCCCGTCAACCTCATGTTCTACTTCAAACCAAATTGCAAGAAAATCAGCTTCTACACCCAACCGCGTAACAATTCAGTTTTCACGGAAGGCTCAACAGGAACTCAGTTGTCGAGGGATTTTCAGCAACCCTATGAGTAGCGTATTAAGTCTATAAAATGTACTACGACACCTCAAATATTGTACAGACCGAAACACGATATGGCCCGGTGCAGTACATACGGTTGATTAGGAACATCACCAGTTGGGTTCCAACTGAGCCTTCCAGTAAAACCAAATTGGTGTGCAGATGAGTGTTTACGTGAAATGCAGACTCACATAGAGAGCACATTGAGAAAATGAATAATGGCAACAGAAATGCTCGACTGTTGCACTCACATCAAGAGATAAAAGTGGTTACAACTGGACCGCGTTGGTACAATGTTACGCTCTGCGAGGACCATCCGAGGAGTCCGGCCGATATTTGGAAGATATTCTGAGAGAAGCTGATGTTGAAATAGAGGCCTCAAGGGAATAACCAAAATAGTTTCTCCAAAACTATCCTTCCCAGAAGGGAGGAAAGGTGTCTTCATTGAACGATATTTGTACGGTTAAAATATAGAAAAGAACAAAATTGTACATCAGCGAACATACACTCACCTGCAAACTAATTTGGTTCTTTCGAGAGACTCACCTGTAACCCAGCTGAATCTCTCGTTTATGATGTTCTCAGGCAACTGAATGTGCTGCACCAGGCCGCCTCATGTTTCAGTCGCTACGATATTTGAAATATCGCAAAACACATATATTTGTAATGTACTACTCATAAGGTTGGTACTCTCTCTGTCGTGAGCTCTTACTTTCAGTGCATTTACCAGTTCAGAAAATGATACTAGCTTGGTTGAAACGGTTGTTCCGGTTAAAAGTCAGATTTGATTCAGCATTACGCATTCACTCCAGGTTACACAAACGTGAAGCAGCTGTATGGGCTACCAAAAGCCAGTAGCTTCTACGAAACTGGGGTTTGCCATCAAGTGCTACGGTGTGATCCAAAGTATTTATGCCTAAAACCGAGCAGGAAGTATCCAAAGGGAGATCAGTAGGTATGCATTCACCATTGTATTTGGAAATGAAAATCATCAAAAAAGTCACAATGTGTACCGGGAAATCACGAAAATAAGAATATGTTAACCGGGAAGGGATGATAAATTAAGCGTATCGGGCAAAAAGTGCGTGCAGCTAGTTACTTCAGTTCAAGAATCAACTTAGTTGGGCGTTCTAGGTAGGATTGCCACAGATTTGAAAACCGCGCTACCGTAGCGCCATCGATCACGCGATGATCAGCTGCCCAACTGACGTTGAGGATATGACCAACGGTGACGGTGCCATCATCGCCGAATCGGGGTAAACGCTGAAAAAGACAAATAAGGGATAATGAGAATTCAAGCCGATAACAATACATGCAGTGTAATGCACTACTCATAAGGTTGCTGAAAATAGGACATGCAGTGAATAGGACAAGATTCGACCGGTATTCTGTCAATCCGATCAACAAACGATAAAACTTACCTGAATGCGTCCGATTCCCCCTATCAAGACTTGGGGCGGGAGGATGCGCGGGGAGGTGTACGTTCCGCCTAGCTATCAATGGAACAGGTGAGTATAAAACCATATGAAAGGCATCGAATTGCATGTTTCATAATAATAAAGTGCATTAGGACACAAACTCTGAGTCTATATCGAACAGCTCAAAATTGCTTAACGCATGGGAACAGTCAGTAGAATTCCTATAGACCAGAACTAGCTAGCAGTTGTTTAACCTTAAACCACGGTCAGATCCTCATTGTTATTTGGCGTGGCAAGTTCGTCCTCTGAAATCAGCCGGCATTGACGAGAACATTTTTCACAAAAGGTCACACTATACAGACTTATCGTCGCCAAAAGTATTGTTCTTAGGACTTTTACAGAGCACTTGTCTATGTTTTTGGTCCACAGAGACACGACTGCAGCTAATTCCGACACATTCTATTTGTAATCCAGTGCCCAGGCAAAATCGACGTGCTGACCTTCCAGTGGAACATTCCCACAGCTCCGTCACCAAGTCGCCGTTGGTCGTTACCGTCAAGTAGCATCTACTGAATAAGGCCGCTTTGCTTGAATCACTCAATAGAAGCCTAACCAATCGTGCAAACCCCAATACAAAAGCTTATTCTTAAAAAGCCATTTTTCAAAGTTCCGTACGCTACGAATGTGCAGGAATATGGACAATGATTATTTTGCGAAAAAAACCCAGGGTAAATCGTTGAAACTGGTGCCCGAATTGAAGATGCACTTTTGTCAATCCTCGCATTGTGACAACCCGCCACCAGTTCACGCACTATCAGAAACTGTAGTACAAGTTTGGTCGGGGGAGGGGTAAAACCGTACTCATCGCTACTGTAGGAGTGTGAGAAAGAAAGGGTGTTTCTCCAAGGGGCCTAACATCTCCACAAAGTTATGATGTAACCTTTTCCAGAGAAGAAGGTCAACCGCACTCTGTAACACCATCAAATTATCGTCGTCCAATTCTGGTGAAGGTCGTGCGACAGCATGTAGAGTTATAATCTGTTGAGTATGATCAGTGTGCGCAGGATCTTGTAACTCAAACACCCGAGACAAACATCCAGTCCATCATTTTGGCCATCCAGCTTCGAAAGATGGTGGGTACATTTCTTGACCACAATAGACCTAATTGTTAAAACACCCTGGGTTCCGGGAGCTACTTGTGGCATAAATAAGGATATAAAGAAGTTCAGCTAGACTCACGCTGCCAATATTCGATAGAGTGACTGTAGTGCCACTCAGGTCGTCGGTTCCTAACTTTCCGCGAGCTCCTAGATCCTGTAGGCGTTTCAGCTCAGTTGCAATTTGAATCACGGATAACCGCTCCACCGATTTGATACTGGGAACCAAAAGTCCCTCTGGTGTATCGATTGCAATGCCGACGTTGTGCGCTGCCTTTTTGCAGAAATGTAAGGACAAAGTTGTAAACTAGGAAGTACTGGAATGTGAGTAAACTCCTGATTAAATAACAGTGGGGAAATGCTAGTTGGTGACCTGCACACGGTCTGTTAGACCTAAAGGCACGTGGTACACTAAACACTGCGTTGATTTCGCTGCCATAAAATGCCACACTCCACAAACTACTCAATCCCAGAAGATGTCATCAGAAAAGTAGTGTGCTGAGTCTCAGATGATTGTCTGTTTCAACGTAATGTGTTTGCGATTCAAATGATTTGGTAGCATCATGTGATAGTATCATTGAGCAGCTGCATTAGCGGTGATCAACACTCAACACCTCTTTTAGGATAACGTGCACTGATAACAACGCGTATTCGGACGACCCAAGAGGCAGTGGGTACCATTAGAGTTTCATTGATTTTCACCCGGAGCTCATTAAAATTGAGCTCCTCTTTCCCAAAGATTGTAGCAGTGCTTGTCTTGGGTGCCGTTGGATTGTCTACAAGATGGAGAACTGCATTCACTGAAGGCGCTGTTCGAGTCACATTTTGAAGGTTACTAGGTTGGAGGCAGGTGAGGTATCCGGAATCAAAGAGTTCCAGAGGCGGCAAACACGAAGTGAGCAGAAAGTGCAACGACAATGGAGATGGTGGTGTTGGTGGGGGCGGGGCTTTCCTCTGCGTCCGCAGAGGTTAGCTGTATTGGCAAGTGTGGGCGGGGCTTTCCTCTGAGCCCGCAGAGGTTAGCTGTATTGCCAAGTGTTAGCAATCGGGGGTAGCGGTGATTAGGGGCTTGCAGGATTTGGAAGATGAGGATAATCTCCTGTAGACGACTGAGTAAATGTTAAGCCTGGTCAGTCGCTTCGCCCAGGGAAGACCGCGCACTAGTTTGGTGGTGCGTTTTTGAGCTTCGCCGAACAACCTGTCGTGAAGTTTTAGACTCGAAGCTAAATGGTACTGTCGACGTGTAGTCTGACGTAAGTTACACCAATGATCAGAGTTCTTTCAAACAATCCGATGACCCGATATAACAGTCCGGGACGCCTACTGACATTGCCAACTAGCACTAAACCGTGTCCCCCAAATCGTGTTGGATGGTAATACCTAGATCCTTTTCTTCAGTGTTGGCCCAATGTATACGACCGGAAACTGGGGTGAAGTAGGGGCAGCACGTGGCACTTCCTTATTGAATAATAACTGATTCGCTTGTGACTAAATGTGGGCCGTCAGGAAGTTGGGTTTTGATCTTCTGTGGGGTGCGAAAAGCTCTCCAGAGCACGATATCGTCGGCAAGCATTTTTATGGGGAGATGATGTAGGCAGAAAAGTCGTTGGTGAATACCAAGAGCAGCGTACCTAGTACTGCGCTTTGGGACGCTCCACGAGGGGGTTGTTTGAGATTCCAGCACGGTTTCGCTAAGGCGGATGGTTACCGTGCTGCGCTGCGCTGAATACCAAGAGCAGCGTACCTAGTACTGAGCTTTGGGGCGCTCCACGAGGGGTTTTTTTGAGATTCAGCAGGGTTTCGCTAAGGCGGATGGTTACTGTGCTGCGCTGCGAGTAGTATCTGGTCTAGTTAAGAAGAGAACCCTTGACACCATGCATAGCCAATTTCTGCAATAGGATTTGGTACTGTATCCTGTTGAATACCTTCGAGAAGTCTAGGTTGGTGATTTCTACCTCTCGAACGGTATGGATGTCCTTGGACCAGCCGTATCGACTGAACAGAGTTCGAGTCAGTCACGATCTCTTGTCTGAATCCATAACTCTCAAAGTAAAACACTGGTTGCTGTTCCAGGATTACCGGACAACACTGGATTGCATGAATTCAAAGAGTGATAAAGACTGATAAGAAGATAGTCGGCCAGTAATTGAATATATCAAATCACGTGCTGATCTTATGAATCAGTGTGACAACACTGTTTTCCCATTGATTTAGAAGTGTTCAGTTGATTCAGATAAAACTTATTTGGTGGTTTTTTCAAAGTCGCTTGTCAGGAAAGTGGGCATCCCTAGGCTAATGGTACCGGTAAAGATGCAGCGTTCTGTCGTAGAGTTTTCAGCTTGCATCCTACAGCTGACGCGATGAAGTTTGGATGCTGGAGGAAGCTCTTCTCAGGGAGAGCTCTGGGAGCTCAATGTGCGAGGCACACACCTGAAGACGGAGGTAAATGCATTTCTTTAGCGAGGCATCGACCGCCTCTTTTGGGATCAGAACCGAACTTCCAGAGGTTTATGATGGAAGGATACACTGCTCCACCCTGTGCAGTCTGTTGGCATGCCTGTAAATGAGCCTTACGGTGTATAGCTCGTTTAACTTTCCGGACGGATGTGCATGGGTTTCACAGAGTAACGCGATTGGTACAGCTTGACTCACAAGGGGAGGACTTGAAATATCTCGTTCAACCGCTTCTTCGCTCTGCTTGTCACGCAGTTGCTTGGACCGGTGAAGAGGTCGATAGCTTTGGTCTGGGATACGGCTTTTGTGCTTTGTGAAGCAATGCCATGCCTCATCCGGCAAAGGTTTGCTAAGACCGAGCTGCTGACAAGTGCCAAGTTTTGTAGAATTGATAGAATGATTGCTCTCCGGATGCGAGGACACTGATTAGCACCCGTATTTGAACCGGTTACGTAACAGGGAACCAGGAAAAGGTCAGTGCGCCCGAGAGGTACCTAGCAAGTGATGGATTCACTCGCTAGTTCCCCATTGGTTACGACGACATCCGTCAAGGACGAGGCAGCACAGCCACGGATTGAGAGGGCCACATACGTAAATAGAGGGACCTAGTGAACGCGGGCTTGAGGCAGTTCCTCGCAAATGTATCTACAGGTGTCCTGCTCGAAACAAGTAAACATCGCGTCAATTGGAACAGTGTGTCACGGACTAGCTGTGGACAAGCTAATTCTTCAAACCGGGGTTTATTCTCATCCTAAACTTGCTCACAGTTCAGTTCCGGTTGAAACACATGAGATGGAATTAGCTCTAATAGTTGAAACGTTCGACACCCAGTTGGACTGGCATGTTGCAGCGCAGCATCGGTGTTGAACACTGATGTCATGCTGTCGATGATGATGATGATGAACCATGGTTTAATAAAGCTTCAACCTTCGAAGTAAGATTAAAAGTTTTCCAGGGAATTAGGGATGAAGAAGTGTGCTGGCATGCACGAAAACTCCTAACGTTGGAAGGACACCTTCAACAAGAAGTAAAATGTAGGTTAAAGCATATGGAGAGTTTTGAAAATAGTTTTATTGGTACCCACTAGCTTTAAGCTATCTTGAGCATTCTACCTTTTTCATGTTTATTTCTCTAATACGATCGAATTCGCTGATTTCGTAAGCGAGGAAGAATGAAGTTTGATAGTGAATTTATAGCAATAAATGTAAAGAAATATCTCAGAACGCTCGTACCATCTGCTGTAGCTTTGATTTAACTTTCCGGTCCATAATGCAACGCTGGAGGCAGTTACCAACCCAGGGTTTATGCCAATGTTTCAAATGTGAAAACGCCCGTGCTATAGTAGTTTGTCAACAATGGTTGGAGTTCATCACTCAGTTTAGGCGTTCCAAAGATACACCTAGCGTAGCTCAATCCATTTCCAACAGCGGTCAACTGAGCAGGCACGTAAAAGCACTAACGTGACCAACCACTTCTATAAATCTCGTCCTAGATAGACATAATTCAGATCCGAAGTTCATCCTGCCGAGCAGCTCATCCTGTTGATAGTCATCAGCAGTGGGTCTCATGAATCTCCAACAGGAAGGGTTCTAACCCGTGACCCTTAAGATAGGAGCTTGAGCACGACCAATCGGCAACGAATGGTTGATCAGTAGTGTGGTGAAAATAATAAATAATGATCGTTCAGCTGTGGCACCCTTTCGGTGCCTAGCTGCCATGCTACCCAAAGGAAACACGAGGGCTGGGATACTGCCAGATTGCCCAAGCCTAGACAGGGGAAGTTGAGAGGCAGAAGTCGGATTCGAACCGCGGACCTTCCGGTCGGTAAATTCGCGCTCTAATTACTTGGTCCAATAGTGTGGTGAAGGTAGTGAAGGAAGGTGACGTGGATGAACCTTTCCTACCTGGTAGTGTGGTGAAGGTAGAAGAGGTTCATCCACGTCATATGTTTCGTTTCTTATTCTCAATACAACTCACCTTGTAAACCATGTGTTCGCAATTTTCACCAGTATGAGCATTTAGCATAGGAAACTGCAGAAGCGCCAGTGAAGTAGCCTGAAATGTGTCCAAGGACAATGGATGATTTGAAATACATTGCCAAGTGTGAGCGAACTAGCACGATGGCGAAGAAAAACTGGTTTGTTCGTAACAAGAATGTGAACTGCACATCGGAGACCTGAGGTACACAAATCAACTATCTACATACAGTCTGAGTATCTGACCAAATTAGTTGTCAATGAGAACAAAGCATACCATCCAACTGAAACTAGTCAGCCGCACAGATGCAGCCGGCGTATGGGTGGTCCTGAAGTCAACAGGTTGCAACCACTGGCGACATGATTCACCTCATCTAGGTCATTTCGATAGACTGCAGCAGGGCATTACGTGACTGAGTATTTTTGAAACTGATCACAGTGTGTAAATGGCGCTGTTGTCACTGGTCTAAATCATATAAAAGTCAGTAGAGCCGGACATAAAGCGTTTGGTTCTACGATATTGGAATTATTGCAAGCAAACACCTTACACGGATGTCAATTTCAACTGGTGTGTTGGACAGATAGGTTGGAATAACGTAAAAGCCTTCTATTAGCCTGAAGAGAGATGACTAGGCACAACAAAACCAACCCATTGCTACGCTTCCTAACAACGTACTGAATATGTCACACTGATTGATGATGAAACGTTTGCAATCAAATTGTTCAGCTGCGCGAACAAACCAACGACCATAACTAGGTCTCACGAAATATTGCAACACCAAATAGCCGGCTGTTGGTTTGATAGCCGATCTGGACAAACGGTTCGTTCTAAGTCGAGAGAGGATGTTGACAGCAGGTCCAAACGAGCCAACAACCTAAGCCCCAGTACTCTCCTCACACACGTGTCGAATAGGTCGGATTTCTTAGTTTCACCGGAATGGAATGCCGGATATATGGACTAGTTTCCGGTGCTCTCACCGAACAAAATTAGAAAGTCACATGCTGGCGTTGGTATGCAAGAGTCCATGAACCAGCTAACGTACGTAGTCCACCGAACCAAAAACCCTAGCCCTCCAAATGTTCAAAGAGGAAGTTTTTCTCACTAACCTAGGTGTGCGTTGTAAAAGACAGCTGAGTGGTTTCTTGTTATAGCCGAAACATATGAACGGATGAACTGACGAGGTGAGTTAGGCTCGCCTACAAATCATACAGCAAACAACATGCGAAATAAGATAACGTTGACCACCATTCGAAATTTGAATCGTCCAAGTTCGGAAATGAGGTTGTTCCTGTCGAGGAAGCAGCGTCAGCATGTTGACACTTGCGGTTTTAGCGATAACCGCGATAACCGACATCTAGTTCGCGACGGATCAGTATGAAGTATGAAGGAGATCATGAAACGCTTGGGTGCTGTCGATGCTACTCGCCTTCAAGGATGGGGACCGCGTGATCCTCACTGTGCCTGGTGGGAAACCCTACAAGATATGGCTGCCAGCCGATGTCNTCTAACCAGATTGCCTGAGTGAATGACTGGAGGTGTAGGCACCTCGAAATGCTTGTGTTAAGCTGGCACTAAGTCCCTTCCCCGTTCACCTTTACTCTCTTCTTTACAATAAGGCTTTCAAATAAATCATGGTGCTGTGAAGCAGTGAAGCATCGGTGTTGAACACTGATGTCATGCTGTCGATAAGGGTGATGATGATGATTGGCTTCAGAGAATCCGTAAGCGCGTTTCATTCATACTGACCACTTGGAGGAAGTCTGACTGCTCTACATTTCACATCCCAATAGCTTGTTTATCAACTTCTCATTGGCAGACGGAAGAGAATTTGTGGGGTGTTGTGAAATTTTCAGTACACTATGCTGATTCGTAGCTTCGTTTTTTTCCGAAAACAACGAGTCTTTCCTTGAAAGATGTGTTCATTTACTGCCATTGATTTAGAGTACGATGAGTTTACTTATATGAACAAGAGACGGAACCACAGTTGAATGCGCAGTGAGAGGACAAAAACGTTAGGCTGTATGACTGGCAAGCTCGGTAAGGAAAAACAACGGCTACAGAGCAGAAATACCTTGACGAAGAATGGCATATAGGTAAGCTTCAGCCCATGCTGTTCCATAAATGCCTTCGCAGTCCGGCTACGTAGTTCGACCAGTTCCGCAACGTCCAACTCCGCAGACAGCACGAAATGGGGAATTTGGTTGGATAAGGTCATGGTTGTTTTCATTGCCCGCTGGACAGCTGAAACAAAAGAGGATGATTCAATGAGCTTGGTGTGTTCGCATGGTGAGACCGAATGAACTCCACTTTATTCTGGACCTCTATAAACCAGGAAGAATGACACGACAGGGAGAATTTGCGTTAATTTTCTACTTCTACGTGACTTATGGGAAGCAGCTTTGTGTACTCTTCGGTGGTGAACTGCGATGTGTCGGTGTCTTTCAAACCGTTCAGCTGTAACACCCTTTCGGTGCCTAGTTGCCATGCAACCCGAAGGAAGCACGAGGGATGGGATACTGTCAGGTCGCCCAAGTCTAGACAGGGGAAGTTGAGAGGTAGAAGTCGGGTTCGAACCACGGACTTTCCGGTCAGTAAATTCGCACTCTAACCACTTGGTCCATCTCGCCCCCTTTCAAACAGTCTAATCAAACTGTTCGACTCTGACGGTCGCCTCAATCTCACGAACTTTCGACCGTTTGCGCATAAAGCAGTCAGGCTAGCTGCCATCGTGGCGAACGCGTTTAGCTGGTGTAATGATGACCATTAAGAGTGAATCCGACTTCGAATAAATTAATTCCACTGTTTAAATAGGCATTAGCGATTTGGTTCTGTCGACTGCACCTTGCAGTCACTCTCACAGGTTTTCTCGGTGATTTTATCCCCTAAAATAATGGGTACAACTCGAGACTGTGACGCTTTCAAATCTTCTGTTTTGATTTCATTGTTGGCACAGCACTTTGCGGGTCCGCACCTAACACCAACACGCTTGTTATTGGGTCTGTCAAAACCAAAGAGAATTTTATGGGTCTACAAACCAACTAGCGCGTTAAAAAGCATTTCAACACAGGAAATATGGCTGACAGGGCTAAGAAATCAACCCTTGATCGAAAACATTCTCCTCGGCGAATGAACTCCGACTGTGCTGTGTCGCTCGCTACTTTTAACTCGGCCTTGAGGTCTGTCTTCGACGATATATTATCAAAGAACGTGGCTTTACAATGGTATCCATAAATTAGCAATGTGAAGACGTCTTTATTAGTGGCTGAAAGTGCATTGTGCTCCAGATACTTATTGGTTAGGTTACCAACTTTATTGTAAAAGCTGGTTATTTGGTGTTCAGTCAGACCCTAGGTGGTCCACGTTCGCAACATAGTGCTCAGAACTTGGAGGGCGAAAACGAAGACAGCAGACGAATGCTTCCATTGACTGCACAGCATAATTATAGTAGAAAGAGCAATTTAGTGGCCACTCGACGATGACCGATAAAGCTAATTCCGAGATGAATCAATTCGTGGTCGGAAATGGGTCTCCCTTAACCTGACGTGCGAACGTACCCTGTTTGCCTCCGCTTCTGCTACCCCTCTGAGCCTTCTTGTTCACCTTCTTTGCTCTGTTAACGGTATGCATTGAGCTGAGTGAAGCGCACCACCAAAACTGACCACGAACGGTAAGTAACCGACCAGTAAGCTCGCGCCTCAACCACTAAGCTATTTCAAGCCGTCTCTCCGAGCAGTTGGAGAGCCAAGACTCCAATTTTTTGCTTTCAAATCTCCCGATATACTGTAGTTGTGTCACGTGTTTCTGGTGTGAATGCGTTGCGTCCACAATGACTGTTTGTTTACTGTTTGTCCACCCATCATTCAGTCTACCCAAAATTCAGGTTGTCTTTACGAATCAGTCAATGAATCATGTGAGTGTGCTGACTTCACAACTGCTTGTTGAGTCTGGTGAAGATATCCGAGGTTGCCCACCGAGTTAAAGCCACTTCGCCGAGCAAAGTAGCGTACTTTTACGGAAAATGCACACACATCTGTACCATGCCACGGAGTGGGCAAAGCAAAACATGACTCAACATAAAGCTGCATCTAAACTATATATAGCGATAGCCTGTAGACCGGATAACGCCCTCAAGTTTATTCCAGTTTGGCCTGCTTGGGCTGGGGCAATCCGAACAGTAGTAGTGACGGATCACGTGCAAACTGGAGACAATCGCCATTGAAAAGTGTGCAAAGCATGATGTGAGCTTATCTGCATCCACCAAATTACGTTAAATGTACGAAGAAGGAAGAAACGACCACACCAAAAAGGATGAGTCCGGTGGAGGAATGAAGGCTGTCAACGACAGTACAAGATGCAGAAGTTCTGAGTCAGTTCACATGTGGTGTTTTAAGAGAACTGTCGCACGAAACAGTTAAGCTTCAAGCAAGACTTAGCATCGAAGGGAAGCGACCTGTCTGCAAAATATCCACACTAAGATATCTTGATTGACTTGGCATTGAGGAACTCACTTCAGTGAGTCTCCGAACGACACGGCCTCTAAGCGGCCTACGGATTAAGTCCATAAAACGTACAGTGGATGTGTGCAGACTCGGCAGCCGGTCGTCACGCCTGAGCATTGTCTATCGGAGATACTTCGACAACCGATCAGTTCTGTCTCAAGGAATAATCGCCTTAAAATAAAGTAACAGTCTCCGAGTTGGGGTGGGATTCTTCTAAATTATGCCTCCTGGAAGAAAGCGCTCATTCGAAACTTCAAAAACATTGCCTTTGGTTTCTACCCTTCAGTGGAAATCGAACGGTAAATTAGGTGGCGGTGGCCTTACCGCTATTACGTTAGGGGGGAGTTGTACAAATACGTACAAGTGAAGTATTTTTACTTTCCGTATACGTTATGTAGGAAAACCTCACAGTGTGGTTCATTATTACCGTCGCTTATTCGTGTTTGGGAAAGAAGCTGATAATCAAAACCCAAGTTAATGAAGCGGGGGTTTCATAAGGCTGAAACGGAGATTGCCCTATTGGTATCACAGTAAAGAATACATCGGACCTTTTTATTGCTGGAGCAGGATACAGACCGAGACAGAGATTTGCACAGTTCTTAGACGGTGGAATCCCGGTTTGGAGCAGATAACGAGAGACGGAATCCAGGTCGTCCGCATACAGTTCAGCGAGTCCACTCACAGATCCATTGGGACTTGGAGAAGTGTCAATCGCAGTCGCATACACAATCAGTTTTTCGATAGACATCATCATAATTTTCAGATGGCCGTCAACATGAATTATCGACAGGTGCTGAAATCATGGTAACAAGTTTGAATACCCTCCCTCATCGCTTACTTCTGGTGTCCTAATACTGCGGTAACTTATTTGCACCCGTGAAGGATTGACTGTTGGAAAAGTCTGGATGGAAACGCACGATGAGGTAAGCTTCGAGTGAGTGTGTTACATTGTCAAACGAAGGTGATACTTCATAGAAGAAAGTACTCACAAGGTTGCTGTAAACTCTTCGACAGCCCACGACCGGTTCTGCCCTTCTTGGGGCTCATCAGGTAGGCAGTCATAAACGAGAGATTCAGTTGTCTCTCGTAAGAACCAAAATTATTTGCAAATGAGTGTATTTCTCGAAAGGTGATACTTCCCTCGGACAAAACGTTCGCTTTAAGTATTGATGGTTATAGCAAATGATGTAAGCGGGAAATTCGTAGAGATGCTCTCCATGAGACTGGAAAGATCAGATAGGACTCATTTACCTTGTACTGAACAACAGAGACGAACAGGGAATGTCAAACAGCTTAGGGTTCGCGTCAGTGAGAAATGTCTTCCAGACAGTCATTACCATTATGAAGTCCCTGGCTATTCGGTCGTCTTTTATCATCCTCTTTTTGATATGTTCAAACATATTTTTTCGGTTGATTTCGCTGCTTTCAGCATGCCCGCATGTTGACACACCCGTTTTATCCCACGGTATGATCACTGGCTCACTGCAGCAAGTATTTCAACAGCGTGCAAGCACAGCTGACAATGCAGTGAGATCCAATAGGATGACCATACTTGACAGAAGCACATGTCTAGTGCATAATGTCTGCTACAGACATTAGATAGAAAGGTACGCTTTGTAGCAAATTCTGCCATCTGCCGACGAGCCTAGAGACGAATCCCTTTCTAAGGTAGCAGCTCACGGCGATTCAAGTCCCAGACCATCCGTTCCGAATTCGACTGAACTGACCGAGGTCGTGACATACAAAAAGTAACACAGCATCAGACGGATCCAACTTGGGAAGCCAATTTTACTGAATTTTCCGGATAATTTATCGGTAGAACAAACCGACCGAAACACTTTAGCAGAGGATGAGGCAAAAACAGCCGGCTACATGCAAGCTTGCTGGGCAAGAGGTATCGATTCATTTGAACAAGATTCTGGGGTGGCATGGTGTACTTTATAGAAGGAAAAATTGCAAGTAAGCAAGTCGAAGCTGGTCCCCGAAAAGAAATATCCACGTGCTAAATTCGAAAACGGCAAGATGCCATAATGAGGAAATATCATTTTTTTTTCGAGGGATCCATTCGACGTCGATCGCTACTGACACCCGGCTAATCGAGTGTCAGTAATGCGACACCAGTGTTAAGTGATGAATGAGGTCACAAGTAAATCAATGATACGCACTCACTTGTCAACGGGACAATTTCGTCTTCCTCCGTGGATGCCACCTGAGGTCGGGATGGAGAGGTGGGGGTCGAAGCAACTATGGTGGTTTCGTGGGCTGTAGGTTGCCCCTTGTTTAGTAGATTTAACACATCCTCCTTCAGGATACGACCCGCTTTACCTGTGCCCACGACATCAGATAAGCTGATCTTCAAGGAGGAAGTAGACAGCAGAAATTAAATAAAATAAATAAATAAATAAATAAATAGTAAAAACCTGAAACGCCGTCCACGGTCCCTATGCGCCAAATATCGTCACCATCACCATTAAATATACCGGCGGTAAAATGACTTTATAAACATGAGGAAAGGTCTTAGCAAAAACTGGAAAGAAGAAGTGAGTGTAGAGACTAAGTGTAAAGAGGTTCTGAACCCATAGAGAATACTACGAAGCAAAAGGTAAGTACACCTTCGGGAAGCGTTAAAATAAGCATAACTGAGCATCAGATAGAAGTACGGCGCCATCAGTGGGATCCGTCCAGGGGTCTTTTCGAGCCTCATCCAACACAATACCAACGCAAAACGACAGAAAACAGTTCAGCTAAAAATTGACAGGTTCGCCACTGGGTTCGTCTGCGCGCGATGTCCAGTCAAGAGTAAGAAGGATCACGTGGGTCCTAGCTAGGTGAGAGGCACCCTACTTGATTGTGGTCAACTTCAGAGCATGGCCTTTCCTCCGCGAACCTCCCAACAATGGGTTAGAGCGAAAGCAGAGCGTAGACTGTGATTGAGCATGCACAGTAAATGTTCCGACTACCTAAATCCGATGAGTACCAACTGCTGCTCGTGTGATAGTGATTCACTACCAAGCACACCCTTACAAACAATTTCGTAGCGTACTCTCATCACTATCGTCATGATCATGATCATAATCGTAATCATAATTGTTGTCACAACCAATCACGACCACAACCATTGTCGTCATCATCACCTCATCATTACTATTGTTAGGATGGTCAGATTCCTGAAAATAATCTCAGAATGCCCGGAACCTACTGTGACACTCAAACTCTGCCAAAATCTCAATTAGGAAGCCGGCAAGTACCCAGACCAGTGAATCAATCAATCCATTCGGCAACGGCTAACGGGAGTTGATGCATTTCACACAAGCACGGTCGATGATGATGGGTGTTCACCAAAAGCTGATCAGATCAATGTCAAAAGTGCCGTTCAAGTACCGTGAGGCCCCTTGTAACTTTTGCACTCATTTCTTCGCGATAAAGCTGCTGTGTTCCTTGTTGGCGAGTCCGTCCCGACAGTAATAATTTACAACTACTGTCGCCATTCTCAACATCATCACTGTCGTCAACATCATAGGTACCATCAGGTTCGAGCAAACTACCGCGAATATTGTCATCCACGAAGTCTATATGAAGTCTATGAAGGTGATCATACGAAACCTCGGTTTTTCAAACACCCCACTCTAGCAAGGCAAATTTCACAATCGATTAACTCGCCTAGGCAACATTAGCTTGAGAAGGAACTCTGTGAGAAATATGTGGCGCTTTCAGGAGACCATGGATCAGCTGTTAATTCGTAAAAAAGCCTCATTTAACTCGGTGGAACGGTAATGAACCAAACCAGACATAGAAACGGCACTGCACATGCCTGCCATATTTTTGGTGCTTGCTCGGTTGCGGTGTAAGTACCAAAGACTGTCATCATGTGATGCGTTGTTGAATAATCAGTGCCGACTTGACTATTGATCGACTGAAGGACAAACGGATACACCTAAGCCGTGTTGCGCGAACAACGATCGTAACTGCCAAATGAGATCTCACCCTGTCAATGAAGTCAATGGATGCCGAAAGCTGAGAAGCACTGCACAGCTGTTTCAGGCCTATTGGGCGGTGCGAATCTCACAATCTCCCGGCCAGGGTTAGAACACTTGACCGTTCAGCCCCGAACAGCTGAACGGTAGTGCG